GAAGAGGGGATATGTCAGAGCAAGCACAGTCTTATTGAGCGAGATAACCCAGGAGTAAACACCGTAAACAGTGGTCTATATTAAATGGTGATTAATCTTATACTATCTACAATATCATACACCAGGAACAATATACATACATATGTTAATACAGCAGGCTTCAACACATAGCAGTTACAGCGGGAAACAGAAGAGAAAGCACACATCTGCAGAGCCTTCCCTTTTATCTTAAAGAGATACAGACCCAGCTGGCTCTTAAAGGGACATAGACCCTGCTGAGTCATTCCCAACATTACATACATCTCACATTACATCAGCTGGTCAGCTTTTAAATCATTACCTTGACAGGATAGTTCCACGTGAATGGCGGGCAAGTGTGCGCAAGTGCGCACCTCCATTTGCACGAGCAGTAGACACGCATGCCTGCCTCTCGTGCAAATGGAGCTGCGCAGACACGTGCGCTCATCCGCCGCTTGCACAAATGGAGCTGCATGCACACGCCTGCTTGCCCACCATTTCTACGGCCCCATTCCAAATGGGCCGGGTCCTGGTGTTGGTGACCCCTGTAACTTTGAACGGTCACTAAGCGAACTGTTGTAAGTCGAGGACTACCTGTAGTAATAATATGTTTTCAATTGTAAGCCACCGCCCAGAGTCATTGACTGAGATGGGCGGCTATAGAAATCCATCCATCCAACCATCAAATAAACAAATGCTTTCTTGTGTCTGAGGTGATACCAGAGTCGTGATTCTGACGTGCACCGTTTCTTTGGAGGAGGAAGCACCCTCGATGTTAGGTGTGCGGGGCTGGTTATGAAAGTAACGGAGGCATCGTTGTTGTTGTTTTTCCTAGCACCAGATAAGCGAATCGGTTTTGCTGTCACGGAGGTTGTGCCTGCGAATCCGCTCTGCAGCATCCCTCTTGAGGCAAAGCCCAAGGAAGAGGAAGCAAAAGGCTTCTGGGTTTTGCAGCGCTCGTTTGCGAGATTATCTTCGCTGCGTTCGGGGAGAGACGAGTATAGCAGAAGCCCTTGAAATTTAGGGGTGGCTTTGCTTACGGTGACTCTTCGGACCACCAACCGCCCCAAAGGAAGCCACGGTGAGAGGAAATCCATGTCTGCCACACAACAGCATCTCTTTGGGAATGCTGCAAATGGGTTAAAAACCCCAAATTATAAACACACAGATTGTGTATAAATCTTCTAGATCAGGGATGTCCAACCTTCGTGGTTTTAAGACCTGTGGACTCCAACTCCCAGAATTCCCCAGCCAGCATTGCACAGTTGGGAGTCCACAGGTCTTCGACCCCCCCCCTTGTAGCCACCCTCTTGCCTTTGGGACATCCCCATCCAAAGAGCATCCATTAAACTGTCCACTATCCCCCTTGCGGGAAGCTTGCAAAGTGGGCAACGAGAGAAGAGCGTGTGCAGAGTTCTCCCCTCTAAACTCAGCAACCTCGGACAAGGCTCTGGATTGGGGCGGGGGGCTGTGGCTCTCACGGCTGGTGGGGCAGAGCCCAGGGGAAGGGGAGCCCCATGTAGGGCATGACCAGGGAGGGGGAGAGCAATGCCTGCGGGACAGTAAGAGGGGGAGGAGGATTTGGGAAGGTGGGCAATTGAAGGAGGAAGCACAACGGCCAGGCAGGGCTGGGCTTGCCTGGAGGAGCTGCCCTGCGCCCCGTTCCCCTTCGCATTCCCAGCCTGCGTTTGTGTGTGAGATTCCCCCCCCAGAAGGAAGCCCCCCTCTGGCCCCTCCGATGAAGGGCTAGCGATCGGAAAGGATGAGAGCCAGGCGCTGTGGCTTTGGCCACCCTCACGAACCAGCCGGTTTCCATGGAGATGCAGCATCCAGAGCTTGAAACAGAAAAGGGGGGGGAAGGGGGGGAGAGGCACATGGGGAGGGAGGAGGATTTTACCCAGAGGTTTCTGAAGCCTGATGAGGACCACAGATGTCCAGGCTCTCCTCCGGCCACCAGCCTCCCAGGAAGGGTCCTCTCTAGGCCCTTGTCTGAAGGAAGGAAGGAAGGAAGGAAGGAAGGAAGGAAGGAAGGAAGGAAGGAAGGGAGAGGGAGGGAGGGAGGGGAGAGGGAAGGGGATGGTCGTAAGTCAAGGGCTACCTCCAATGGGATGCATTGCTTGGCCAGGCTTTGTTTTCGCCGGTGAGGGAGACGGAGGAGTGAAGCCCAAGCGTGTCCCACGAGAGGTGGAACTGAGTCAGGGCGGGCAGCTGGCATGCCCCTCCCAGCCTGGGCATCCGTCTAGCTTTGTCACCAGGTTGCCCAAAAGGCATTTGCAGGCGTGCCCCTGGATTTCTACTCTGGCCCAGAGTCAGCTGTGGCCACAGAGGTCTGTGCAAGGGTGGGGGTCCCTGCGGTGCCCTCAGGCCCCAAGCAAAAGACCCCGGGGTCACTCTGCCTGCCCCGCCTGGCTCTTCCCGGCAGAAACCGCCACGCCCCGTTGTCCTGCAGCTGCAAGCAGGTCACCTTCTCCTTACGGTCATCCCTTCCTCCATCTTCCTCCGTGTTAAAAAATCATCATCACGACAACCACCACCAAAATACCGTACCGGTGGTCCTCGATTTACAACAGTTCGCTTAGTGACCCTTCAAAGTTAGAACAAGACTGAAAAAGGGACTTAGGGCCGTTTTTCACACTTACGACTGTTGCAGCATCCAGTCACGTGATCAGAATTCAGACGCTTGGCCATTGGCTCCTATTTACAACGGCTGCAGACTCCCGGGGTCACGCGATCCCCTTTTGCCACCTTCTGACAAGGAAAGCCAGCGGGGGAAGCCAGATTCACTTAACGACCGTGTGACTAACTTACCAACTGCGGCGATTCGCTTAACTGCTGTGGCAAGGAAGGTCGTAAAATGGGGCAAAGCTCACTGAACAAATGTCACACTTAGCAACATAAATTTTGGGCTCAGTTATGGTCATAGGTCGAGGACTACCTGTGTGCAGCCCCCTCCTCCCTGAAATCCAAGGACAACTGCTCTGCGCCCTCTGCTGTCCAGCGCTGGCATTGCAGACCCCCAGAGCCCTTTGGCACAAGAGTTCCTCAGCTTGGCCCAGGGGAAGAATCCGGAGGAAGCCCCCCCCTCTCCCCCTCCCCGGTCTGAGACCCTGAATTCCAGGGAGGGAGGGGGTAACTCTTTTTCCAGGGCAGGGTCCTCTTTGTCCTTCCAATCAGCCAAACCAATTTCCAGGCCAGCCTGTTTTAATAATCGCTCCTCCGATTAAACTGGCAGAGAGATTGAAAGCAACCCACTCCATCTATATAAATGAAGCAATGATGACCACCACCCCCCATCTCTGGAGGACCTTGCCCTCCCTCAGCGAAGATGCCAAAAGGATGATAAATCTGTAAAATGCAGCATTTTTCTGCCCGTGACAATCTATCTCCAGCCTTTGGAGGAAGTAATCAAACCACTATACTTTAATAACTCTCGCCAGCCAAGAACGGCTGCGTAAAATCTCCCTTCTCAAACTTTCTTTCACTTTTTTTTTTTTTTTTTTTTTAAAAACCCCAACTTTCCTCTCCAGGAAAAGAATATCTGCAAAAACAAGCAAGAAATACGGTATATATTTTCCGTCAGAACAAAGGCATGTTTAAGTTCAGCCATCAAGGTTAATTTCTATAAACCAGTGTTTTTCAAGCTTAGCCCCTTTAAGCCGTATGGTCTTCAACTCCCAGAATTCCCCAGCCAGCTTTGCTGTACAGGTAGTCATTATGATTATGATTTTGTTGTTTTGCATACACACTGAGAGACAAACTCTGCACAGGAGACAATTTCCTTGTGTGTCTAATCACACTTGGGCCAAATAAAGTACTCTGTTCTACTTGTGACGGCTGATCCAGCTTGGGCAGGGGGCAAAGGGGTGGCTGTCAGAACTTGCCCCCTCCTCAGTCTCGTGCAAGCTAAGTAGGGACCAAGCCTGGGATGGATTTCAGGAGAGATCCAAAGCTGGGGGTTCAGCCATTTCTCCAACCCCAATTACAGTGCTTGTCTTGGCTATTGATCTGCCATTTAGCTTTGTTCGTGAAGATCGCAGCACGCACACCTTTTGTCGTTTGAGGGTACCGCAGTGTCACAAAATTTGAGATTGCCTGCTTGAACCAAATTACCGAATGAACATTGTTGGTTTGTGTGCTCTGTTGACTCACAACGTAAGCAAATGTTTGGCTTAGTATACAGAGTGCTGAGGTGTTGGGTAGGTGAGCTTGGGAGGTGGACTTGTCTCCTGCCTTGGGCCGGGGGTTGGACTAGAAGACCTCCAAAGTCCCTTCCAGCCCTAGGATTCTACGACCTGCTGAAGGGTGGGGTCCTCGGTGCTCCTTGAGCTTGCTGGTTTTCTTGGAGACGTTTCATTACCCAACTAGGTAACATCTTCAGGGCTAGAACAGTGATGATATTACCTAGCTGAGTAATGAAATAGCGGCAAGAAAGGATCCCACAGTCCTCCTCCTCCTCCTCTCCACATACCCCCTCCCTTCAAGAAGACCAGAGAGCACCGAGGACCCCCCGGTTCACACCAGAGCTACAAATATTCTCTTCTGCTCAAGTGCAACACAGCCAGAGCCCTCTCCCTGCCAGAGAATCCCTTCAGCCTAGTTCTAAGGCCATCTGACCAGTTTGCTGAGAGAACAGAGCAAGCGTGCAGCTTCCTGTCTCGCCACCCTGGAAGGCTTTGAAAAGCTGCCTTTGTGGGCATTCCTCTCGTCCGTCCCACTGTTAAAAGGCTTTGAAAGGCTGGTCACCCCAATACAGGACTGGGCGTCCACTCTACCTTGCCAGGACCTTTCCAGTGGGCAGACGGTGCCCCCGGGTGGCGAACGGCTACACTGCAAGGGAGACCCACCAGCGTGGTCTTGCCGGGTCAGAGAAAGAGACCCCTAGTGCCAAGCCAAAGGGCGCCTCCTGGAAACTCCAACCGGGCCCGAAGGCGACAAGTTCAGGGCCACGTTTCAGAGAGGAAAACGTAGAATCAGCCACTTTTATTTGCAGACATTTTCGTTACCAGCAAAAAGCTGATGGAGCAAAGATGGTGACGGAGCGACAGCTTCTGCTATGCGCCTCCCGGTGGCGGTATCTCTAGAGAGAGAAGGGCAGAACCGAGTGGAGGCTGGGGCTCAAGTGACAACTTGGGTCTTCTTGGAATGACCCGGGGTTAGCGGAAAAAAGCCAGGCGTTCTTTGAGCCACTGCTCCGTCAGCTCTTCGGTGGATCGGATCTCGAAGACCTAGTCAGAAGAGAATGGCCGCCCTCGTTAATAATTCAGCACGCTACATATGACTCTGCTCCATGCTACATATAAATGGGACATTTTACAAAATTGAAATCCAAGGCAGGAGAATATAAATCCGACACCAATACTCACCGGGAATACATAGCGACCGGCAGCAAGGAAAGCAAGATGAATAAAAAACCTTGGTAATTATATTCTATGGATCAGCAGCCGTAGGAAAGAGAGGGTAAAAAAAAATTGCCCCCAAAGCCGGAAGAGTCAAAGGGATTGGCAGAACTAAACAGTAAAAAAAAATAAAAAAAAAATAAAAAAATCAGGATTAAATACCTTTGTGAGCTCAGCTATCTGCACCAGCCTGTTTTTGCTTCCAGCGTACATCATTTGCTGCTCCGGCTTGCACCCTGGGTGGAAGGAAGAGGGAAGAACGGTTTATTGGCAATTAGCATTCATTATCTGAGTCAGAATGCCTTGCGACGGGTGGCATAATTCACGGGCACTCAAGGAGATGGGATTGATTGGGCTGGAGAGCGGCATCCCCTTCCAAAGTCACACAGGGGCTGGACCAGGGCGCTCTCTCTCTCTCTCCGCAGAACCAAAAGGCGCTGATGGGAAACCACACAGGACAGGCGGTCCCCCACTTACGACCAGAGTTGGAGTCAGAATTTCCCTCGCTAAGCAAAGCAGTTGCTTAGAGAGTCACGGCCAATTTTTACCATTATTTTGACCCTGGCTGTTAAGTTGTTAAGTGAACCTGGCTTCCTGCATCAACTTTGCTTGTTGGAAGCCAGCTTTGGGGAGGGGGGTGGAGGAGTGGGGATTCACAAATGGCAATCACCCCAGGAGGCTGCGACCATTGTCCATACATGCTGTGCCCCAATTCTGATCAGTGACAGTGGGGCCATAAGCGCAAGGACAGGTTGCGAGACACTTTTTTCACTGCCATTGTAACTTCAAAAGGTCACTAAACAAATGGTTGTAAGATGAGGACTATCGGTATTAGGATCCTAAGGGGAAATTGCAACGACGCCCACTCAGAATCACATTCTGCAGCCTTCAAAGCTTTGCATTTATTCCTATATGGCAAGGGTCTCCAACCCTGGCCGCTTTAATACGTCTGGACGTCAACTCCCAGAATTCCCCAGCCAGCGCAGGCTGGCTGGGGAATTCTGGGAGTTGATGTCCACACGTCTTAAAGCGGCCAGGGTTGGAGAGCCCTGTTATAGGGGATCCAGCCCACCTCCTACAAACCAGCCCCACCTCAAGTACCCCGGTTGAGATGGTTACCGGATCTTACCAGCTGGACTGGAGAAGATGAAGCAAAGGGGGTAAGAGACCCGCCCATCATCGTGCGTGTATCTGTAGCTGTAGACAACAAATGTGGACACACACGGGCAGTCAAGGAAACAACGGGGAATCTCAGAGCAAGCCAGGAGGACAGGGACTCCGAAAAGCCTACCGAGATCCGCTTCATCCTTTGGCGGGTGGATTTTCATCCCTTCGTTTTGAGGGGTGCTTTGGGGAGTGCTCCCCAATTTGACCTTGCCTTTACCACATTGGCAAGATAATCCCCAGATACCCAGACTGGCTTCCTGGCTGAGAACATATTTTTGTCCCTTACAGCCTGACCTATACTCTCTGCCTGCTGCTCAAAAAACCTCAGGAAGGAAGGATCCGTTTCTCCTTTGAACTATTCGCCTCTTTATAGCCGCTTTAATTCTCTCCCTATTACCCAGACAGCCTGAACCGCCTTTGGCCACGCTGTTCTGTTAGCTGGGATCTATGGCTACGGCACAGCGGAACGGAGTTTGCCAGTTTATGTTGCTATTTGTTATGTGACACAATGGACAAGTAACACTGTTTGCCTTCTGCCCAGCAGTGACTTTACACAGGTCAAACCGATCTGGGCGGCAGGCTCCTGGGTGAGCATTAGGCAGCAGCACAGAAACAGAGAAAACTCCAATAGAGGTAAGGCCTCGACTTACGACCACAACCGAACCCAAATTTTCTGCTGCTAAGTCAGACAGCTGTTCGGTCAATCTTGCCCCATTTTACAACCTTTCTGGCCACCGTTCTTAAGTGAATCACTGCAGTTAACTTAGTCACATGGTCGTTAAATGAATCTGGCTTCCCCCACTGACTTTGCTTGTGAGAAGGTCGCAAAAGGGGATCACGTGACCCTGGGGAACGGCGACCGTCATAAATATGAACCAGTTGCCAAGCCTCCGAATTTCGATCACGTGACCGTGAGGATGCTGCAAAGGTCGTAAGGGTGAAAAACAGTCATGAGTCACTTTTTTCAGTGACATTCAGTGACAATCACTAAAAAAATTATTGTAAGTCAACGACCTGTAAGGCTGTTATCTCGTGGTCATCCAGATTTATACAGCCCAAAACTATTAGCTGAAGAAGAAGAAGAAGAAAATGCTAAGCCAAAAGGATCCGGCTGTTGGTCAGAACAAAGGTCTATTTAGTTATTCACGCAGTTTTCTGGATAGTCAGCCAGATGTTCCTGAGAAACTACGGGCGGCGATATTTGTCTGCTGAAATGGCCTTCCCCATCGACTATCCTTTAAACATTCTAGCGATTAACCCTGGGTAAGATTTTGCTAATTAACCTGCAGATTCCTCTCATACTCTGCCACCTCCTGAGAGCAAATTTCCTGAATTAATTACACCTTCGGTGGGGGAAGGCTTCCTCTGGTCTGTCCTGAAAGCAGGGGAACGACACAGAGCGGCTTCCAGGTAGGGACAGATGCCGAAGTACACAGGAGAGGGAACCAGATTCAGGAAGGATATCGGGGCTGGCGCTCAGGTAGCTCGTTACTCAGCTGCTCGGGAGAGATGTCCTGCGGGAGAGAAGAGGGGAGGGGAGAGGCGGGACCTCAGAGGATTGCAAACACAGATGGGGGAGACTTCTCAGCTAAAGCCTACACACAACTTTGTAAAAGAGGGAGAGGAGGGGGCTTGTGGGGTTAGAAGCAGGGAAAGCGTGTCCAAAATGTAAGCCGTGCAATGTTTTCATATCGCAGAATAACAGAGCTGGAAGGGAACCTTGGAGGTCTTCTAGTCCAACCCCCTGTTCATTTCAGACAAATGCTGTGCTGGCTGAAGAATTCTGGGAGTTGAAGTCCACAGGTCTTAAAGTGGCCACGATTGGACACTCCTGGCATAAGATCTCCTGCTTGAGCATGGGGGTTGGACTAGAAGACCTCCAAGGTCCCTTCCAGTCTTATGATTCTATGTTTCTATTATACACTAGCACAAGGTATAATGTTCAGAGATTTCCCCCCCCCTCCCCGCCCTGCACTAAACCCCCATGAGGCATTTACGGCAGGGTCTCCAACCCGTCTTCAGCCAGGCGTCAGGTGGAGCTGCTCCGGCTAAAGGGAGCTGGGAAGTCTGGGCAGGTGACAGTTATCATTCCGAGTTTCACATCAAAATGCCAACACAGTTTAAAGCCTCAGCAGAGCCTCTTGACACTCCAGATAGTGGAATAAAATGGTCCATAAAATGCTGATGGTTGCTTGCAGCTCTCGAGAGCGGCGGAGGGTGGGGGCGCAGGAGGAGGAAGCAGCAACGGTGAGGCTGCTTCTCGCTCTGCAAACTCAACCTGCATCAAATGGGGAAGTTTCTGCCTCTGAAGGCTGCCTGCTCTGACTCGGTGTGGTGAAAAAAGGGCCTTGAAAGTTCTTTTCTGCATTTGTTCCACTGCGTTTGAGGTGCTTAAGCTCTGAAAAGAGCCACGGTTGTTTAGGAGAGAGAGAGAGAGAGAAAGAGCTCAAAGAAGCTAGAGAAAAGAAGGACTAGAGGGGACATGATAGCAGCGTTCCAGCATTTGAGAGGCTGCCACAAAGAAGAGGGGATCAACTTATTCTCCAAAGCACCAGCAGGCAAGACGAGAAACAATGGATGGAAACTAATCAAGGAGAGAAGCAACCTGGAATTAAGGAGGAACTTCTTGATTAGAACAGTTAATCAGTGGAACGGCTTGCCTTCAGAACTTGTGGGCGCTCCATCACTGGAGATTTTTAAGAAGAGACTGGACAGTCACTTGTCTGAGATGGTACAGGGTCTCCTGTTTGAGCAGGGGGCTGGACTAGAAGACCTCCAAGGTCTCTTCCAGCTCTATTCTGACTAAAGAGATTGGCAGCCGCCTCTGTCAAGGTCCCTACTCATACCCTTTCCAAGGCAGCAGAACTGATGCAGCCAGGGAAGAAGCCTTGGTAAGGGTGCCACCGCCAGCCCTTCTCTGCCCAGTCATAAATTCTGGGCAAGGGGGCCTCAGGGGGGCTTGCAAGGGGAGGGTGAGAAGGGCAGCAACAGTCAGCAGCACAAGACCTTCCCAGAGTTGGACAACCTAAGAACAGGAGCCCAAGTACAGGTAGCCCTTGAATATCACCATTCCTTTAGTGACCACTGAAAAAAAGGGACTTTTTCATGCTTACGACCGTTGCAGCACCCCACGGTCACATGACCCAAATTCAGATGCTTGGCACCTGACTCATATTTACGACGGTTGCAGTGCCCTGGGTCACGTGATCCCCTTTTGCAATCTTCTGAGCAAGCCGCATTTACTTAATGACCCTGTTACTAACTTAACATCTGCAGTGATTCGCTTAACAACTGTGGCAAGAAAGGCCGTAAAACAGGGCAAAACTCACTGAACAGCTGTCTTGCTTAGCAACAGAGACTTTGGGCTCAGTTGTGGTTGTAACTCGAGGACCACCTCCATCACGGGGGGTAATCTCAGGACAGAACATCAATTAATATTTGGATCCCACAAGATGGAAGTAATTGTTCTTGACTCCCGGCTTTCCCTTGAATAATCTAAGTGGTTAATTCTGTTTAGAAGCATCCATTTTCTGCCTCGTCCTGCCTCTAATATTATTAAGTGCCGCTTTTTGCTCTCAGGATTCCCTCAGGACCGTTAAAGTGATTCTGCATTCTGATAAAATGAAGCATTCCGCAGAATCCCACCGACTCCTTGTGCTTCGCGAAAAAAGCAGTGAACCAGAGATCAAATCATGAACATCTTGCTGACATGCGTGAAGATTGTAAAACATACTGAATTAAACAGGAAGGCAAACAATGCCATCAGCACATTGTTCCCATGAGATAATAAATTTGATTTGAAATTCAATTTGCTTTTTGTCCGGCCCAGTAATTTCTAGCAAAATTTACATCCAGGAGGCTGGGCTGTGTAATGGAAGAGTTGCTTTTTGGGGGGGAAAAGTGAAGTTGCCTTAAGTCAGACTCAAGCAGTGGCAGAACAGGCTGGGAACTTACTCTTTGGATGACTGATTTAAGATCAAGAGGAGTGGAAATGGAATGTGTATTCCTGCGCATGTATTTGCATGCACACGTGAATGAGTGCAAATGAAAAAGGAATGAAAAAGGAGGTTGATTTCAGTGCCCTCTGTGAAAAAACATTCAATCTTGGATATGATTTAGGATCTGACAGCTTTGCTACCTTTCCATTGCGCACAAGGAAAAGAGCTGGCTCATAATTTATCTTAATCCATAGTGTAGATCATTCATTTTTACGCCCCAAAGGCAAAACTCCTTTATAATCTCCTCTGATTATAATAAGATACATATTTCTATGTCTTTCTAGTTTTACAAAAAAAAATATTTTAGCATATGAAACTGCACTTAAGCAGCTAGAGAACTATTCATGAGATGCAGCCCTTCTCATGCTGCAAATTTGCACATTATTGGATACAAAGGAGAACATTCTGCAGTTTTGACTGATTTGAGACTAGAGGAAAAGATGCAGTTTTGTCTACATCCTCTGGTTTGGTTTAATGCAGGGATGTCCACCCCTGGCAACTTGAACACTTGTGGACTTCAACTCCCAGAGTTCCCCAGCCAGCATGGCTGGCTATGGAATTATGGTAGTTGAAGTCCACAAGTCTTAAAGTTGCCAGGGATGGACACCCCTGGTTTAATGTGTATACGAGTCATCTCTGCAGTTTAAGTGCTCTTTGTAATGTGTTTAGCAGCAAACACATGCTACACAATTCTCTGATCCTTTTCAACCAACATATGTTCGAAGGCTAAATTATCTGATGAATGATTGCAACTATGATTATGATCTATGACCTATTACTTCCTGTTTATATGTACACTATGAGCTTAATGCACCAGAGACAAATTCCTTGTGTGTCCGATCACACTTGGCCAATAAAGAATTATATTCCAATTCTATTCTATTCCATTCCTATTTCTACTCTAAATGCTGCTTTAATTTACAGATTGGAATTACAAATAGGTATTTAAATACATTCAAAATATGGGTGGGCTTCTTTAATGGGAATACTGTACTCGTTTTAGTTTTAAAGATGAAATAAAAGTTGTGCCTACCTGAAATTCCTCCTCCAGAACCACCAGTTGTCTATTTTTGTCAACTTTCACTGATGACAGAGACAGGAGAAACCAATTAACATGTTTTTTTACCTCCACCGGTTCCTCGAAAACTTGCAGCCTCAGTTATCACCCATTCCTTCCCAAATCCTCCAGCATGGCTGCTAGACCAGGGTGGGCACAGAGCACTAATCTGGAAGCCCTGACTTTTTAATAGCGCTGAAGAAATCTACAGGAAACAGGATAACAGCCACGAGCTGTTTTCGTATTTCCTTCACTTAAAGTGATGACAAATTCACTGATGTTAAAGGCTGCCTTTACAGCTGTCAGCAGAGTTTCAATGAACATCAAAGCCACTTTAATATAAGGTCCGCAAAGTGCTGATACATTTCAAAGTAGAAGGCTGCTGTCCTCTTGGGTTTAAAAAACACAATCACAATGGTGTACAATGAATTCATTAAAAGCATAAACACATATGCAAACACAGAGCACACACATGCATAATCACTGAGGAAGCACAAATTCTTGAAATGCATTAGGATATGAGTGCTGCTTAGCACTAAATTTGTGTGAAATATGGATCAGGCACACTGTTTTGCACTAATAATTGTGCTAAGTCTCAACGCTTGAACATTCAAGAAGAGAAAACATGGGACAGAAAATGAACTTGCAACACATAGGTGGTCCACTCACTAATTAAAGCTGTGTTGTTAGTCTCCTTCTGGAAACGAAATTTCTTTAGTTTCTCAATGAGCTCCGGATCTACATCACACACAACCAGAGAATCTGACTAAAAAAGAAAGAAAGAAAAAGCAATGTGGATTTTCTCTCAGGTGCATTATTTCATTTTCCTGAAGGCAACAAGGATCTCCTTTTCTCTTTGATTACTGCAAAGGGCTGCCTATATTTTCAAAAATTTGAGTCTCATATCCAGTAAAAAAAACCAACCACGCCCAAATGGGAACAGATGACATATGCCAAATAAGCTTGTTTTCTTAAAACCATAAGTCTGTTTTTCTACAGCTAAAGGATTAGAAGTAACTATAAACTTTAATTGAAATTGATACTAAAAATTCCAATTTCCATGTGGCTACATGGTTAGGGACGGATGGGGGAGCTGGTTGCACAAGACAGGGGGATTGTTCGCAACCAGGCAATATTTTTCTAATGTCTTTCTGCTTTTGCAGTTCCTCATTTTTTTAAACAACGAAGTTAACTCTATTCCTCCACAAAACATATATTTTTACATGGATTTTGGTTCCTGCATCCTCATTCTGAACATGTTTGGTCCATGCAATATTTGCCTATAATCAATCAAATCTTAATTACAGAGACCAACAAATGCCTACTGTTACAGTTTCTGTTTCAACTCTTATCTCCTCCACCACTTCACCATTGTAATGTTGGACTGTTAGATCTTTGGCAGTGGAATCCATGTTGCCTGTGTGTATTGTTGAACCGACCAAAAACCACAAGGTTATCAGGGGTCAAGTTAATCTCATCTGTCAACCTGGTTTCTAGGATGTTTTATGCTTAAATGAAATTTCTCCAGCCGCTTCTTGAAAACCTGAGAAAATGCAATTCTGATTCTTCATTTCAGGACCAAACAGGCTTAAACCTTCACAAGACAGTCCGCCACTTTGAGATAACTTAAACTCAGTTAGTCCCAAACACTCCGAAACACCCTTGTTTTGAAAAGCTGAGCTTTCAATCCAGCATACCGCAGGAGAGGAAGCGCGTTTTCACCAACCTTCAGCATGAGCCTCAACTGGGGCCATCGCTGTTTCTCTTGAAGCTTCGTTTTGAGAGATAGCAAAGGAACGGTTCCTTCAAAACCTCCCCCAGATGGATTTTTGCATCTGAAAGACTGACCGACTGAATGGCAAAGTAACCAGTAAAATAAAACAAAATAAAAAGGTCACTTTTCCAAGCCAGCTAACCCAATATTTGAAGCAAGGGCCCCACCCAGAATTAGGAATTGTTTAAGCTAACCATTCTGCCCTGCTGCTCTCCAGCCTTATCTCCTCGTCTGCTGAAATCTCGTAGCTCCGGGTTCGGTGCTTTTTCCTCTGGGCAGGATGTGTTGCTCTTCAGCTCAGCTCTTGCATCCGACAGATGGAAAGGAAAGACAGATCGGGAGGAAGTAATTGCTGGTGGTGGGGTGGAGCATAGAGCAACGCCAAAGGTTTGCATTTTTAGTTGCAAAAGAGGAAGAGCAGCCCAGACCACAAGGTGGGAACTTACGCTGCTGTATTCAGGAGTATTTTTCAAAGGAGAATAGGGGCAAGGAGAGATTAAGGCTAGGACGAGGCTGCCGTCCTCAGATCCAATTCAAATAGTAGTTTAGCAAAGTGGGTCACTCAAGCAAGCCAGCCAGGACATCCTCTTTAGGAAGAGGAAGTTGGTTTGATCCACAAGAGCAGCGGTGGGCAACTATGGCAACTTTACAACCCGTGGACTTCAACTCTCAGAATACAGGGATCCAACAGATCTGGGTCAGATCAAGTATGTCCCTTAAACTCAAGATTGGACTTTATTTCCAGAATCCTCAATCAGCTGAATTCAACTCAATGGAAGGCCATTGAGAAATAACGGGGCAATCACCTACACAGATTGGATTAGCTACATCTGGTGCTAATATAATCAGCTTTATCCTTACTTATCAAAATAAACCACAACTGACTAGGTTCCCACAAATAAAGTCACCTCATCTGTGAGATGGGCAACATATAAATTTAATCCATTTTTATTTAATATAAATAAACATTCAGCCTATAAAGTAAATAAATAAACATGCTGAATGAAAAGCAAGCAAAGCGATGCCTATTTCCTTGGGGGAAATCCACCACACTGGGAGTCAAACCCAGATTGGGTCGGTTGATGAACCAGACAAGCAGGAGGCCTATAAACCCCACATCTGCAGGGCCATCTTGAAGGGGAAGAAAACAACATCACAACACACACACTCCGGAATTGCAGCACATGCCTACACGTGGAGGGTTTAGCTAGCAAACCCAGTTGGCTGGGATGCTCTGGCCCTGTCTTGCATGGCTGGGTTCACAGGACAGATTAAGCCTGTTGGGTGAACGGTATAAATGTAAAACTGGTGGACTTCAATTCCCAGAATTCCCCAGCCTGCATGCTAACGAATGTTGACTCCCAGAATTCCCCAACCAATACAGAGCAGTTGAAATGGAAGCTAGGCGGACTGCCATTTCCCAGAATTCCATGCTGGCTGGGGAATTCTGGGAGTTGAAGTCTTAAAGCCTCTGAGCTTGACAAAGACAACGCTGGGCCGCAAGGGGATTTATTGGCTGGGGATTCCGACATGCTACAAAGGCCTGGTTAACTCGGATTTGGGTTTTCCCAGGTTGTGTGAACTCAGCCAAGGGGAAGACCCAGATTGGAGAACGTCAGTCTGGGCTCCAGGAGTCGAAGGCTTAAGGCCTGGACCCGAAGACCGGCGGGTGAGGGGAGCGGGGGGGGCGGCCTCGGGAGCCTCCTGGCAGCCGCCGCTGTGGGAGAACCGCGATTTGGGCGGGAAGCGGGGGGCGTGGCCGTTCCTGAGAGACTCTCAGGCCACGCCCCCGCTCCCTCTCCGCCTCACGCCTCGATTTCCCGCCAGCTCATTGGCCGCCCGGGAGCCTCTTCCGCACAAACCCCTCCCCGCGCGCGCTCCCCCACCCCCAACGTCGTCGATTGGCGAAGGAGCGTCCGAGGGTTTGGCGGCGGCGGCGGCGGAGGAGGGATTAAAGGAAAGGCTGGCGCAGCGCCGGCCAATGGGCGCGCAAGGTGAGTGACGTAACTAGGCGACCGGGGCGAGCGGGTGGATTGGTTGGTCGGTCCGGGCCGCGCGCTCCCGGGCGGGCGTGCGTGAGGGCGTGCGTGCCGCCGTCTCGTCAGGGTGCGTCCCCACGTCGCCGTGCGTTGTGACGTCGCGCGCCCCCCCCCTCCTCCGGAGTGTGTGGTGGCTGGAGCTGCCGTGCGCGTGCGGGAGCGGGCGAGCGAGCGAGCGTGCGAGCGGGCGCGCGCGTGGATGTATGTCTGGACGTGGGTCTCCGGGCGGGCGCGCGCGCGCGTGTGTGGAACTTGGTCTCCCCGGTGGGGCCGGAGCGGGCCGCGGCGACGGTGAGTGGGACTGCGGGGGGGGAGGGCGGCGTATCTGAGGCGACCCGGCCGAGCCCCACCCCCAGCCCGGGACACCCCTCTCTCCCGGGGGGTCCTGGGAGAGCGCCGGCGGCTCCGCCCCCGAGGGAGAGAGTCTCGGCGGGCCCCGCCCCGTCCCCCGCTCGCTCGCTCGCTCGGAGGGCGACCCCGGGCCCCATCATCCCCAGCCACGCTTGGGGGGGGGTCCCTCCCATCGCAGCCCGAAAGGAGCGGCGCGGCTGGACCCGAGGCCCTTCCCAGACGCTGAAGCCCCCCCCTTCATTGGACGGTTGTGGGGGGGTCGTTTCCTGGCTGTTATAAAGACCCCCCCCATTCGAAGCAGACTTTTCCTTCTGGGGGGGCTGAAGAGCAGCTGGAGGGGGAGGGCAGCGCTCCCCCAGAAGTGGGTGCCCCCCACCCATGGATCAGGCCCCCCTCCTCCTTGGGCACTGGAGCCCCCCCTCGCCCGCCCCCCTCCCTGTCCTCGGCTGAAGGGGCTCCTCGGGGTCTGCCTGGACCCGAAAAGCCCTTCCGCCTTTGGGCTGCCCCTGCACTTCCCTGACACCCCCCCCCCAAAACAAATTTAATTTATTAAATTTATATGTCGCTCATCTCACTAGCAAGCAACTCTGGGCGGACTGCAATGCCCTAAAGGTAGAATAAAAACAATTTCAGAATGAAAAGTGTGAAAATATTAGGCATTAAAAGTGAAAGCATGAGAGTTAAGGTAAATTTGCTGGGCTCTCTGCTCTGTCAGTTTCCCCCCCCCCCCAGAAAGAGAGGCGGCTGCTTTTCCGGGTCCACCGGTTTTGCCCCCTTTAAAAAGTTTTTCTCTGGAAGGAAGGGTTGTTGTTTTTTGCTTTCTCCCAGGTCTAAATGGCTTCTGCTGAAGGCATCTGCAGGTGATTTTGGGATTATTTCCACCCCACCATCTTTCTTTTGGTCCCAGCCGGGAACCTCCGTGGCAGAAGAGGACCGCAGATGGGAAACCTCTAAGGCTACAAATATATCTGGGGGCATTGGCAATTTCTGAAAGTTTAAAATTCAAATGTATGAGAGCAGGCAAAGAGCTTGGGGGGGCTGACTGTGACCTTTCAGGTAACGGGGGAACCAGGACCACTTTTCATCACGGTGTCATAAACAACTTATAAAGTCACTAGGATGTTTCCTTTAGGCATCTTTTACAGGAAATATTTGCCTTTATTTACCTTACATGGGCTGCCTCATTGTTTTCGTCCTTATGTTGATTGTTGCCTCACGTTATTGCCTTGTGATGGTTTTCTTTTTTGTTCTATCACTTAGCTTGCTCTGCGTGATTATTGCTCACAAGTTACTTCTCTGGGAGCTGAAATACTGTTCTGTAGTTAAATGTCTATGGAGATTCTCAATCATCCAGGTTGTGGTTGTCCCAAAGGCGCTTTTCAAAAGCAACTGGACTTTCTTGGTTTTTTTTCCTTGAAAAACATTTCACTTCTCATGCAAAAAGCTTCTTCAGTTCTGTAGTTACTTCAGCTCACGTTGGGAGGGTTCACAGGTTCAACTTCAAGAGCACCCCTGGACTGAAGATTAGGGGTGACATGATAGCTGTCTTCCAATATTTGAGGGTGTCAACCTATTCTCCAAAGCACCTGAAGGAAGGACAAGAAGTCAGAGATGGAAACTTATGAAGGAGAAATCCAACCTAGAATTAAGGAGGAATTTCCTGACGGAACAGTTAATCAGTGGAACAGCTTGCTTCTTGGAGTTGTGGGCGCTCCATCACTGGAAGCTTTCAAGAAAAGACTGAATAACCATATGTCCAGGATGGTGTAAAGCCTCCTGTTAAAGCCTCCTGTCTTGGGCAAGGCGCTGGACTAGAAGACCTCCAAGGTCCCTTCCATTCTGTTTCTATGTTTTTATCTTCTCCATCTGAGGAAAGCATTCCTCTGTTTTGCCAGCTTCTGACCATACGTGGCGGTGATGCCTTGTCTCAGTATGGCCCATGCACTCTGCTGCCAGGTGCTCAACAGAACAGGCTCAAGCCCTCTTCGGGATAGTGGAGACCAAATGCAAAACGAATACTTCATGTTTAGCTCTGGGTGCTTTGTAGAGGTAAAACTGTTCTAGCTTAATAGACTTACCGCATCCTTCATTTTAACCACCTACTTGTTGCTTGCTCTCTGATACGGGTTTTCTTTCATGAAATTACTAATGATGCTCTGACCTTTCTTCCTTGTTGATGGAGGATTTTTTTTTTTAAATGACTAGCCCACGTTTGACGGTTGTCTTTGGATCCAGAACAGAAAGTTCCAACTTCTGGAAATGCTACCTCCAAAGACGATAAAGTGGTGGTAACCCCAAGATGTAAAAAGTTTGTTAATCTGTCTTGAGATCGTTACAGAGATTCTCTCTTGATCCTGAGTCCTGAAATGGATGATGAAAAGAGGATCCAGCTGGGTCAGTTCTTTGCAAAATTTTGATAGCTGGGAAAACCCCACATTGTAAAATTGGAGGCACACTTCAGTTTTGGCTCTTTTTTTAACTCATTTTATGACTAACCCTTTAAGGTGAAAGAGCTGCTATTCTGCTTGCAGTTAAGTTCATAAGTTAATGATCCAGCCTATATGGAGGGAGTCCGTACAATTGAGCCCAAAATTTCTGTTGCTAAGCGAGACATTTGTTGATTTTTGTCCCATTTTACGACCTTGCCACAGTGGTTAAGTGAATCATTGCTGTTGATAAGTGAATAACCCGGTTATTAAGTGAATCTTGCTTCCACATTGTCTTTGCTTGTCAGAAGGTGGCAAAAGAGCTTGGGACACAGCAAAAGTCACAAGTATGAAACAGTTGCCAAGCGGCTGAATTTTGGTCACGTGATCATGGGGATGCTGCAAAGGTTGTAAGTGTGAAAAATAGTCATGTCACTTTTTCCGTGCAGTTGTAACTTTGAATGGTCACTAAATGAACTGTTGTAAATTGAGGACTACCTGTAACCTGTTCTCACCTATAGCTTAATTGTGGCTGTGCATCATTTAGCATATTGG